TCTTGTTCACGAGTGAGGGTAGGATGGAGCGGGAGATCGACAGGCGGATTGGGGCGGCGTCAGCAGTGATGCGGGCGCTGAACCGGTCCGTTGTGGGGAAGAGAGAGCTAAGCCAGAAGGCAAAGCTCTCGATTTACCGGTCGAGCTACATTCCAATCCTCACCTATGGTCATGAGCTTTGGGTAATGACCGAAAGAACGAGATCGGGAATACAAGCGGCCGAAATGAGTTTCCTCCGTAGGGTGGCCGGGCTCAGCCTTAGAGATAGGGTGAGGAGCTCGGTCATCCGGGAGGGACTCGGAGTAGAGCCGCTGCTCCTCCATGTCGAGAAGAGCCAGTTGAGGTGGTTCGGGCATCTGGTGAGGATGCCTCCTGGACGCCTCCCCAGGGAGGTGTTTCGGGCATGTCCAACCGGGAGGAGGCCTCAGGGCCGACCAAGGACACGCTGGAGGGATTATATCTCTCGGCTGGCCTTGGAACGCTTCGGGATTCTCCCTGAGGAGCTGGTAGAAGTGGCTGGGGAGAGGGCCGTCTGGACCTCTTTGCTGAGGCTGCTGCCCCCGCGACCCGGATCCGGATAAGCGGGAGATGACGAAGATGAAGACGAAGACAGTTTGTTTTTTTCGGGAAATCTAATATATTCACTTACCATGTATTTTATTAGGAACACCTGTGCAATTTGTTGCAATCCAATACTACAACTCTGCCATACATTCTACCTTAATCACACATAAACATTTTTAGTTTTGCCGACATTATCAGAAAGGTGATAACTTCACTTTATGTTGATTATGTTGATAACGTAGTGGGTGGTGGTGGTGTACTGGAGTGCATTATATTGAGTTATTAATATTGTGTGTACCTCATTTACATGCATGAGAGGGGCAAAATGTACAATGTAATCAAAAAATAAAAATAAAAAGATTAGAATAAAATAAATTCAATGGCAGAGCTGTTCCATTAGATGCCGTTAGATTGCATGTGTTCCTAATGTTTCTAAGTGTGAGAGAATCATCCAGCACTACTTCATCTTATTTTATACACATAGCACTGTTTTGTAGTATTGAGCTATTTTGATTAAATTGTTATTCAAAGGAAATTTGAAATGCAAAGTTTACTGTTTCTCATTTCATGGTTTGGTTTCTGTCTCTTCTACATTAAGGATTCCGATGCTAGAGCTGTTCAGAGGGAGCTGGATAAACTTATCTTCGGTATCTACAGCATCAATGTTGAGGGAGGTGATGCCACCACTCCTCTAGCCGATTTTGGAATAGTGACTGAGGGTGTTGAAGTTCTGCATGACATGGGAGACATTGCCTCTGCATGTGCACTCTTAATGGGTGTGATATATGCACTGAACCTCAGTTATCCTCAGGAACTGAAAGCCTTCTTTGAGGTGCTTCAGAAGCTCTTCCTCCAACTGGATGCTTGCAGACTCTCAACCAAAGTGCAGATGCTCAAGAACAACATGAGCTAACCATTGAATGTTCCATGGAATAGGAAAAATGATATTTTTCAATGTTTAAATAAAAGTTGAGCAACAAGTTTGTTGTTAAATGGTTAGACCATAGTTCTGTTACAAAAAAATTGAAATTTTATCGACAATTATGCTCCAACTGTTAGTATTGGACCATGCTGTACCAATGATGCCACCTGGACGTATGTTTTATTATATGTAGGGCTGCAACTTACAATTGTTTTCATTATTGATTAATCTGAGAATTTATTTTTTCTATTAATTGATTAGTTGAATTGATTGACATTTTTGACCATTTTCTGATGTTTTCTGCAACATCAAGTGTCCTATTTTGTTGTTATGTTTGTTGGATCAACAGTCCACAATCCAAACATAGAGGTCTAACGAAAAAAATATTCACATTTAAGAATTTTAGCATTTTCTTTCTTCAAAATAGTTGGTGATTAATTTTCTGTCAATTGAATAATCAATTAATCATCTGATAGTTGCAGCTCTAATTATGTGTTACACTTTCAGTGCCAAAAATGTTACTGTATTGTTTTTTTTGGACCAAGTACACCAAAATGTAAACTGAATCAGTGTGCTGTGTTGGTAAATAAAGGAAATAAGAAAAATGTGTTGGGTGTACCAAATTCATTTGTGTGGAACCAGTTGACAAATTAGAAGTATGTCAAACTAATTAGTAAAACATGAATTAGATGAAAACATAATATTTTAATTAATTGAACTTAAATGTGTTATTTTATTGCTACAAATAAGACTGATGTTGAAACAACAAATATAAAATATGTAGCCTGTACATATATTCTTTATGTCCATATAACTTAATTGACTTTGGGTCAACTTAAATATTTCTTGTTGATCAGAAATAATTTTTTTTTATTGGCTCAATTCACAATCATTGTGTTACCGTAATAAACGTTAATTAGACAAATTAATTAAGTTAGATTAACTTTATAATTTTGCTTTTAACTAACCTAATAAAATTTCGTGGAACCTGTTGACAAAATAAATTTAATTAAAGTCAACGTTTCACTTTTTTGAGTGTACAAAGAACATGTTGGAGTGGATGATGCCGTACTTTACATGCTCCACCGGGCCAATTCTTACTTGGATGCGCCAGGTGGTTACATGAGGATTATGTTCTTTGATTTTTCAAGGGCATTTAACACCATCCAACCCCCCCATCCTTAAAGACAAGCTGGAAGGAATGGGGGTGGATCCCTGCTTCACGTCCTGGATTGTGGATTACCTGACAAGACGGCTACAGTATGTCAGGCTGGGTGACTGTGTCTCAGGGACAGTGATGAGCAACACTGGGGCTCCACAGGGGACTGTTCTGGCTCCGTTCCTGTTCACCCTGTATACGGCGAACTTTAAATACAACTCTGAGTCATGCCACATCCAGAAATACTTGGATGACACAGCTATTGTGGCATGTATCAGGAACGGGCAGGAAGAGGAGTACAGAGATCTGACGATGGCCTTCAGTGAATGGAGCGACAAGAACTGGCTCCTTCTGAACACCTCCAAGTCCAAGGAGATGGTCATGGACTTTCGGAGGTCTAGGCCCACCCTTAAGCCAGTCAACATTCGAGGGAAGGACATTGAGGTGGTGCACACTTATAAATACCTAGGTGTGCACCTAGACAGTAAACTGGACTGGTCCCTGAACATGGATGCCATCTACCGGAAGGGGCAGAGCCAGCTCTTTTTCCTCAGGAGGCTCAGGTCCTTTGATGTCTGCAGTGAAATGCTGCACATGTTTTATCAGTCAGTGGTGGCCAGTTTACTCTTTTATGCTGCAGTCTGCTGGGGTAGCAGCATGTCCAACATGAACACAAGGAGACTGGACAAGCTGGTAAAAAAGGCTGGGCCTGTGCTTGGCAAGAGTCTAGACTCACTCTGGACTGTTGTGGAGAGATGCATGCAATGTAATTTCTCCATGCACTCTGAAAACAAGGTACTAGGGCTGGGACGACGCGTCGTTGTCATCGATTACGTTGACGCGAAAAATACGTTGACGCAAAAACTGTGCGTCGATGTGTCGTTTGAAAACAAACAATAGCGGCAGCAAGTAGCGGCAGTATCGATACCAGCGAGTCAGTTGACTCTGATCAATGTAGAATAGTGATGGGTCGGTCTCGAACGAGAGCCGGATTAGAGCCGGCTCTTTGAAGTGAACGACGGGAGCCGGCTCCCGATCTAGAGCGATTTTTTTTTTTTTTTTAAATTGTCTTTTAAAGCCGCATTGGTTAACATGTGTGGCTGTGGCAGCGTCTGTGTGACTACACTGAGCAGGAGGGGGGAGGGGAGGGGTTACAGACACTCGCATTTCATCGAAAAAATGAATCGTTAGATTAATCGATGCATCGAAAAAATAATCGCTAGATTAATCGATTACAAAAATAATCGTTTGCCCCAGCCCTACAAGGTACATCTATTGTGTGTTAGCAAGCTACATAAAATTACTGTGAGAAATGTATTTTAAACAGTGCAGGCTGACATTAGCTGCTAGCCTGCTCGCTAGCGAGTGAAAAACATATTGTTTATGGTTAACCAACAGCTACAAGGTTAAGTTGATTGCAATAGGCATGTAGGGCTGGGTATTAACACCAACTTCCCGAATCAATTCAGTTTTGATTCACAATTCAATGCAATTTCACATTTTAATCGATTCGATTCAACATTGATTCAGTTATAGATATTTCAGTTACCAAAATTCTCAGACGTAATGCTGCAAATTGTTTCTCGAACCTGATGCATTATTAAATATATCACTGTTTGCATTTAGAAGCAAACCAAAGCACTTACATTAATGCACTTTCTATTTAACACGACCAAAAGTTTAGACACATATCTTGAGAAATAATAATGTTATATATAATGATAATAATAATTCAAAAAGCCCTTATGAGTGGGATATTTGGATACTTGTTGAGGGAATAGGATGCCTTTGTACATTTGATGAGAGCTATACACAGCAGAATAAGCACATAAGCAAGTTACTATGGTTATTATTCATATTCATGACATACAATTGGATGCTGCTTATTGAATATTGCAATTACAATATGGTGATATATAGAAAGGTGCTAATTCTTAATCAGTCCTTCAATTGACAGTTGAACCATTGTAGTTGAATCACAGTGTAGAGTTCAGCAGATCAGTGCTGAATAAAATACATCTCTATCCATAAGAAAGACATGACAGTAATGTTATGTGACTTGCTAACACACAATAGATGCACCTTATTACAGCAACAAACACTAATAAAAATCCAGACAAATCCAACATTTTTTTTTAATCTTGCAAAGCTATTGAGACTGCTCATTATAGCAGCTTGAGAAGTGGTATCAGTCAGATGACCAGGAACAGACCACTTAGCGTCATATGCTGCTAAAACACAAGTTGCATACCAGACAATTTTTGTGAATTGTTGAGGACACTTGGTCTTCCAACGCACATTTCATTTCTGGCCCAGCAGTGTGTGTGTGTGTGTGTGTGTGTGTTAGGTAGATACCTTAGCTCCATGTGCTTGGTGGATAATTTTCATTGTGTCTGGAAATGAAAGAAAAGAGAACCAGATGAAGAGCAGGGACTTTGCCAGGTGCTGTAGAGGGAAAACATGAAATGACAACCTCCTCAGATCTGGTGCATTAATCATCATTACCTCTGACCCACTACATGTCCTGTTATTTAGCTGCCTCTCATCATGACCTGATTATTTTCCGGAAAATATTTACAATCACCATTTGAGGTGATAGTGAGAAGCTTTGTTTGCAGCCTGGACATAGGATCTAAATCTCTGACAGTCCTTTGCAGCGGCCCTCTGATTTCTGCTTCACCTGAGCTGAATATGGTGCTTCAGAAATGTGAATCATGTCAGACATACCATAAGCATATTTCCTGAAGGGAGGGGGGAGCCCTGGTCTCGTTGTAATATCTGAAAGAAGATATAGTTTGTATCAACCTCAACCTCTGTTAATAACATGACACGTTATATGAGTCAGGCCTGCTGTATTCACTCACCGTCTCTGACGAATTGGATGAAGTCCTGCACCGTCTGGTCTAGACTGATTCCGTGAAACACCACCGGTTTGAAGTTTCTGTGCTCGAATGACCTGACAAGACGAACAGTGACCACAGCTTCTCCCGCCATGTCCTGATGCTGGACACCGACCACCGACCACCGACCACCGCTCCGACCGTTAGCGCTGATGAAACAGTGATTCTTCAGTTAACGTCCGGAAGCTGCGGGGTCAAACTGCTCGGTTGTATGATGAATGTATTCAGCATTCGTTTAGAACGGTTTAGATGCAGCCTGTCGCATATCTGCTGAGGCCAGATCAGTCGAGATTATTCAACAGTTCAGACTCGATGAGTCGATAACAGAGCGCTCTGTCTCACCATCCACCGGAAAGGAAAATGGCGCCACCTACTGTATTGGAACATGAAGAACATAGGGAGAAATTTACCCAATAATTAATGTGTTTTATGATCCTCAAATAAAGACAAAGTTACATGTATGTTAATCAGGCTTGATGATGTGTAAGTGTTCACAGATATAGCCTACTGGCCACAAACTCAGACCTACCATCTGAACAGATGCAGTAAAATAAATGAATAGATAGATAGATATAGAAATACAAGTAAAATAAAATGTCTGTATTCTACTAACAACTTCAATTTCAACAATCAAATAACATCATCAAACCTGATTAACATACATGTAACTGTGTCTTTATTTGAGGATCATAAAACTTGTTTTACAAGTTGAAGGGTGGCCATTTGCTGCAGGGGTGTCATATGTGGAATATATATGGAAGTAGCCATGACTGATGAGGTGGAATCTCACGTGATTTTCTGCTGTGTTGACAGAAAACATAGAGAAATACAGAAACGCAACCAAATACAGCACAGACCGGAAGTGAGTTAAGAAACGAAATAAGTCTGTGAGTATTTGGACTATTACACATTTCTTGATCATCTGACTCTGAGTTTCAGCACAATCAATTTGACTTCATGTAGCCTATCTGTTCAAACAAAAATGTGTAACTGTCCAATTACAATTCATTCAGAAAGTCTTCAAACCCCTTCACTTTTCTCACGTTGTTATGTTGCAGCCTGATGACAACATAAAAAAAAATGTTTTTCCCCTCATCAGTCTACACTCAGTTCTCCATAATGACAAAGTGAAAACACAATTTTAGAATTTCTTACACATTTATTAAAAAGAAAAACTGAAATCTCACATTGACATAAGTATTCAGACACTTTACTAGTTTAGCTCAGCTTCCTCCATTTCTCTGGATCATCTCTGAGATGTTTCTACACCTTGACTGGAGTCCACCTGTGGTTAACTCAGCTGATTGGACATGATGTGGAGAGACTCACACCTGTCTATATAAAGTAAGTGTTTCCTTTCTTTCTTTGTGTGAAATCAGAGCTGAAATGAAAAGATGGTTAATATATTAGTCAATTAAAATTAATCAGCAACAATACAATTCTGATAATCATTTAAAAAAATTTTAAGCATAAAATATAAAACAAATATTCTCTGGTTTCAGCTTTGTTCCTGGTTTTCTTTGTCACCTCTGACAGTAAAGCGCATTTCTTTGGAATGCTGGTCAAACAAAACAGACATCTGAAGATGTTGCTTAGAGTTAAGACTAAACATTGAAACAATTCAGAAAATAATCTACAGATTAACTGATAATGATAACTGCATTTTTAGGCAGATTCATCATGCAGCTCGTTGAATCCATGTACAGGCTTAAGTTAACTTGCCAGACCACATGTCACGTGTGAGTGAGTCCCCTGAGTAGATCCTGTCTCTGCTGTCTCTGACATGGCGGAACAGTAATGCTATTTGTCTGACTCTGTTATCAACTGCAATAAATTTTTCTAAAAATGAATTTTCTTAAAAATATTGCTTTTCAAAACATTCCAGCTAAATGAAGGTAATAGCAGGATCATGGACAAGTTAGATCACTGCTCCACTCCGTCTCTCCCCCCTCTCTGCATCTCTTCTTGTTAGTGTAGAGGAAAAAGGTGGCAGTCATGAAGGAAAGTCCAGTTAAAGCCTTTCAAAGTCCAGAGCTGACAGAATTCAGACTCGCACAGAGAGATAAGAAACATCTGTCTAGATTTGTTTCCCTCCTGAACACTAGACATCACCAAAGTTTTGAGGAGGATCCGCTTCATTTGACCATGGCTGGTTATTGGGGGGGGCGGTGTCTCTCGCTCTCCCAGCCCCTGCGGATCTTTGCCAGTCTTGACGTCAGGCACGGCAGAGCCAAGAGGAGCCGTCCCACCAGGACTACGCAGGGCAGAATGAGGGCCAGCAGGTAGACTGGAGGCAGGTAATAAGGGTAGGCCCCAGGGAAGAAGGCAAAGTCCCAGCCAAAGAAGAGAGTGTGCATGATGGAGAGAGTTAAGGCAACGTAACCAAGTCCTGACTGGAAACACAAAAAACAGTCAGTCAGAGAATTCCACAAAATGTAACAAAGATAATTTAGATGATTAGAACTTAGAACTTCCTGAATGAGCCTCTGGAGACTCATCATCTCATTTTCAACATGGTTTTGACAAGTCATTACATTTCACCAACTATTGTGTGTACATAAAACTTACACAGAAACACAATTACACACAGTGTTAGCTGCCCCTTCAACATCACACACATCTGACAGATTACTGAGTATTACAGCTGCACAATTAATCAAAATACAGAATCGCAATATGGCCAAGTGTAATATCAAAATCACAAGAGCTGCAAAAGATTGCAGGAGCTGCATTGTTTTGATAAAGGTAAAAGGTGTTTCATTGTTGTGCATTGTTAGCAGAGCCAGAGTAAGAGTTGTATTGCTACCGACACTCCGACCTACAAATCATATTCTCAAGGCGTAAAGGAACATGTTTGTTTGGTACAAGACCAACAAATATCACATCATCATCACTTTTAAATCTTCTGTGAAAATGAATCAAAAACAATAACTCCAGTTGAAATCACATATCTGCCAAAATAATTGCAATATGCAGCCCTCGGCCCTACTGAGTATTTATGCATCAAACAGGAAGCAGCATTAGCATTCATTTGCAGTCATGGCTGTTACTTGTTATTTCTGTTCCCTCTCTTTTAGCTCTGTGTTTGGTCTCCTCCTCCTCCTGAGGAAAATATCTGGCTCTTAAGCAGCTACTTGCTCCACTCTGTTCACCAGCTGGTTGCTCATTCTCTCTCTTCCTCTGTGGTGCTGAGCAGGTGGTGGACAGTGCTTTTAGAGCTTGAATTGAGTTGAGTTGAGCTGAAACATACATTAAAGATGTTGGAGCCTGTTTGAGCAGATGAGTTAGAGGAATGGGACAATACCACTGCAGCCTTCCTGCACCTGCTCTGCAGTCATGTGGGGTTCTGCTTTGCCTCTATGACTGAGTGAGGCAGAGGGGTTGTGGTATACAGAGGCATCACATGACTGATCTAGAGACTGATGTCTTTTATTTAGTTTGTAAAGACAGCCAAATAGCTCACAGATCATAAGACAGGCTTTAGTTTGTTGTTTTTTTTGTTATGATGATATTGAAGAAACATGAGGACCTGGCATCATTTACTGAGTAATATGTGGACATCAGATCTGAATTTCATATGACACCAGCAATGTGTCATTTTTCCAATAACGTTCTGCATTTCCTTGTTATTTCTCTGGTGTTGCTACCAGTTGGTTTGACCCTCCAGGTTTTTGGAGATGTTATAGAATCAGGAATAATTAAATAGCATCCTCTGCTCTGTAGCATCAGTTAGATTAATTCTCAGATCCTCAATCAGTTTCCTAGAGGAGCCTGTGGTTGTTGAGCTGATAATACCTACTGACGATGCACCTGCCTCATGAGTCCTATGAGTCAGTTCAGGCCTAAGAAAATCATGAATTTGTAGAGAGTATCATTTTTTATGTTTGCTGCAAAAATCAACAAAATGTGTAATTTGACTGTATAGATATACCTCACCTCCCTTCACATTTTTAACTCCTCTGGATGAATTTTACACTTTCCCCTTTTCTCAAGTCTGTCTAAATACAGTACTCACATGTCTCACAATATGTACATTTAAAGACCCATCCAGATTGGCCATAGGACGTAATGTGACTTCACTGACGTGGTCCCAGCTCTGTGCAAAAACACTTTCTAAAGTTCAGCTAGTTACTGAGGCTTCAGTTACAGTGAGACACAGTGTGTAAATTACGCTTTTTGTAGGAAGCTCACTGTTTCCTCATACCAAGCTGTGTCCTGGTGTAGGAGGGGATGAGCCAGCCACAGACAGGAGGAGTGATTACAGCCACCATCTTTACTGACAAACATGTGAAGCCTGGACTTTAAGTACAATTAATGAGCAGCAGGACAGAGAAGTCTTAAAATCATATGCTGATCTAAGCTGACCTGAACAAATGTAAACTCCCTCCAACTGAGGGTGTTTCCAACAGAGGGCAGAGAGGTAACAGCCAGCAGACTGAGGACTCCAAATCCCAGAATCCCACAGGACAGGTAGAGGTCAGACCTCCACACCTGTGACTCCACCCAGGACTTTTCAACACCAGCTTTCACCTAAAAGTGAGTGAACAAAAACATATATCATATATACATATATGTATGTAAACACTGTAACAGCTCTGTGGTGTACACCAACCCAGTACTCACCTGCTGGTAAGCTGCATTGAGCAGTGTGTACCCTGCAGCCCTCCGCAGCGTCAGACACATACTGTACACAGCGTGGAGGAGAGTGCAGAGGAAGCTCAGCAGGCCGAGCTGCTTCCGCCTGCACAGCCAACGGTCTAACCAACCTGGAAACCTCTTATATTTGGTTCCCCTGCCCAGCTGGAGGACAGCTGCCACAAGACCTAAAGAAGCACAGCACTTAATATGACTGTGACATTTTCATCCAGCATGAACAAAATAAAGGTGCTATTTCTGTACAAAATTAATTTACAGGAGATAACAGAATGACACCTGGAAGATAGACGAGAGCCAGTGTAACCAGGGCAACCGCCGGCAGAGTCTCATTCACCGTCACTAGTGGTAGCTGGTGGAAGTTGTTCTCTCCTCGATCGAGGTAGGGCAGCAGGATGTGCCTCACGAAGCTGTATCCATAGAAGAAGAGGAAGAGAAGGAACACGGCCAAGATGGGGCCTCCCCAGGAAGGGAAGAGGATGAGCGGGGCTTCCTCAATGTCTCTGGATCCACACAGACCCCCCAGATCCACAGGGCTGAAGCCAAGACAACGAGCCAGCTGGAGCACCAAGGCTTTAGAGTGGGAGCAGTCACTGCAGACCAGGACCTGGAGGGGGATTAGATCAAGGGAGACCAGATTTTCAGGGCATCAGACACAGTGGATCAGTAAAGAATATCACCACTTCTGCTTAGACCTGTACTGTACTGATGTTACATAGTGAGGTGTGTTTCCAGGTGCTCCAGAGTATGACTGCATGTGAGAGAAACAGTTGTATCACAATAACAATATCACCATGTAACTACATGCGATAACCACTGGTGTCAGGACCTGTACATATCAAAGTCAGTCCCATAGAATTATCGTGAAACTGACTTCTTTCATATTACCCAAAGGTTCTTTAGTTTGACCTGAGATAAATGCTCTTTGCTGGGTACCACCTCACCTGCCTGCTTCCATCATAGGCTCCAGCCTGAAGCGCCCAAGCTGAGATGACATTGAAGCCCTTGACCACCCTGCTCTCTGGGAACAGCTCAGCCAGCCTCTCTGCATGTGACTGCTCTCCACTATTCAGCCTGGTGGCATTGCTGACATCCACCAGCACCTTCCCAGCCAGCAGCTCCCTAAGCCCCACCAGGGTGTAGTAGTGCTCTGGGTAGACTGCAACGAACACCACCCTCTCTGCACCGTCCACCGCCTCCCTCTGTGATCGCAGCTCCACCCCGTCAGGAAACATACCCCTGGGAATACGGTGTGGGTCACGGCTGCCCACCACCACCCTAAAACCACAGGCCACCAGCCGGATCGCAAGGGACCGGGAGAAGTCTCCAGAGCCAATAATGCCAATCACAGGGCCTCCCGGGCAGCGAGGCAGGGGCTTTGAGGCATCAGATGAGGAACCAGCCAACAAGGGCGTCTTCATGTCACTCTGCATGATGATTAACTAAACAACTGTGAAGTAACACAAGGCTGATTTTCAGATCTCACCTATGGACAGCAGCAACAGCAAAGAACTGTTATGACTTTTACCTGATTAAATGAATATTCATTATAATTATTATTATTATTATTATTATGAAAGGAATGGATATGACATCACTCAATGATGATGATGATGATGATGATGATGATGATGATGAATTTAATACACTAGCCAATGGCATAGTTACTTATGTATTTGTAAGGCAATGTGTAAAATACTAAACATAAATGTTCCAAACATAATAAAAAAACAGATTAAAACAGAAGAACATTTGTATCTGAATATTGTATGGCATCCATGCAAGAGAAACAGATTATAAACAAACACTGGAAAATCCTAGAATCCAAGTTTGAATCACATGACATCCTTTTTGCTTCAGGAGAGTTATAAATGTCAGAGATATAGTTGTCAGCTCCATTTATCAGGAACCTACACAAACTAACTGGCTTTCTCAACAAGTGTTTGGAAACTATAGATGTGGAAAATGTGACACGGTTTAAATATATTTGATTCTAAGACATTTAATCACACTCAGTCAGGAAAGATAAAAGAATTTAACCATCTTTCTACATGTGATCTGTATCTTGATATTGCCCATATGGCTTAATGTATGTAGGCCAAACAAAGCACAGTCTCAGACCGACTGAGTATAAGGCTGCCATGAGAAATGGAAACATGAACTAGGCACTACTAAGCGAAAAACCATGGGTCAGCTACTTCCCTTGAATTTATTGGCATTGAAAGAGAGCGCCCCAATTTAAGAGGGGTAATCTGATAATCAGTTTTTCAGTATGAAGCATTTTGGACGTATGAATTGAACACAATTGAACCTTGTGGATTTAATGAAACACAAGATTTGAGTTCTTTTCTGTGAGGTGAATAATCTCATTTATATCTTTTTCCACATGTTATCTGGACTCTCAGGGAGAGATGAGCTATAATTCCTCTGACATCCACCCTCCTCAATAAGTGATTTAGAGGGAAAACTGTATGACCAATGATCTACGTCTGTAAAGGAATTAGACTTTTTCATTCAGTCAGTTTTTTATATAGAAGTTAGTTCTCTTATTTTTGTTAATAATGTGTAAAACAGTAATTTTGTAGCTTTAAGTAATATTAATGATGTGGTGATATTTTATAATGTGTAAAACTGTTTGGAACTTTGGAAAAAATGTTAAATACGATGATAGTTGGTCATGTGACCCATGTATATGTATTTATCACACCTGTGAACGCTCTCGTAATTGTAAGCTACTAAGTGAACCTGAAGAATCCAAACGCGTTGTAGTCTCAGTATTATATTTGATTTTAACTGGCTAATTAATCAAGCAGCACCTGACCGCTACTGGCGGTGCACGGGAATTTTGTTCACATCAAATATTCCAGTTTGATGGATTGTACTGCCTTTTTCATCTTCACCCCCTCAGCTCACAATTAAAAAACAGCCTGTTCAGTAATAATACATGAATCAACATACACATCTCTGCATGTTGACAATAATCAATAGTTATGGCAACGCCAAAAAACACCTTTTTAAATCTGACATAATATTTATAAACCTATATCACGGAGGGAGAAAAAAATATATAAAAAATAAATAAGAAAATATTTAAATATCCTTTAGTCGTCTACTTTGATTAAACAGCGTTTCTATGTAAGTCCATCACAACAAGAATGAAACTGACAACAGCTGAGTGCACACACTTACAGCACAACTCAGCACAAACACACCTTATTACTTTAACATGATTGAATGAAGATGACTCACGTCTTCTCTGCAAGGATTTCAGTTTTAAACCTGACCTAAAAGCTTCACGTTCAGAACTGCTCAGTGGATTTGTTGTCCAACACTCTGGGCGACATTTACACTACAGGACAGAGGACTGTGCCTGTCACGTGTACGGTATGCGCCGCCCACTGGTGCCTTCACTTACTCCTGATCAGCTCCGACTTTTGTTCTCTTGTAAAAACCTATGATTAGAGGCCCTACCACACTGGATAAAGGATGCAGTCTGCATTCATTCCCGTGTCAAATGAGTAGTCTCAGGTATTTACCGGCTCCAACTCTGATCAGCTGTGATGTAGACATGACACCCAAGCTGTGAATCTTTCAGAGCGCAGACACTGTAAACACACCTGTCACCTGTCCAGCTGTGGTCCAGCTGTGCTGTGCAGCTACACCTTCCGCTGAGAGTAAACCGCACTGACCCGGGGATGAGACGGGACGGATCCATGTCAGCATTGTGCACTGTCCTCTCAGTCTGAACTAGACAAACTCGTCTGTCAGTGTGAAAGGACTCAATCGCCTCTTCAGCGGGTTATAGGCGCTCGTTTTGGTTTAAGAGTGTATTAGTGTGTAATCTACAACATCTAAAAGTTTTTTAATCACACATTTTAAAATTACATACAAACTATCCAGCATTGCTGAAAGTCACTAAACTTCATTTCCTGTGAATGAAATATTGTACTTTTTACATTTATTTGACAGTTTGTAGTTTAGTTAGGTGCCCAGTTACTTTTTAGACTAAAATGTTATGTAAAAAACGTATTATTATTTATATTATTATTATTATGTTAGTTATTTATCATAATTTTAAATAATAAAATACAGTGATAAAAATTAAAAGCAGTGGTTCCAAATCTTTTCAGTTTGTGTCTCCTAACAGCAAAGCACTAAGTGTCTGCTTCATGTTTCAGGTGTCTATGAGTCGTAACAGTTCCACCACAAACACCCTTAAACCCCTACAGATGTTTTTATTAAACAACTGTTCATAGCCCAAAATCACAGAGCTACTAAGATTAACTGGAGTGATACAACTGGGTATAAACACAATAGACAGTCAACACATATTAAAAGCTGCATTATTTTCAGTCGTCACATCATCAAAATACATCTTTCATTCATTTTTAAATGCCAGACACAGGGGTCTAGAGTTACAGATTTGAATTAGGTCACATCTGTTGGACAGCCATTGAAAAATGGAAACAGGCGGGAAAATGTTTCTTGGATTCATGGTCACAAAAATGACACTACAGTGCACACCATTTGCTGGTAATGTCCAACAGCAACTGAAGGCATCACATGTGACAGCGGAAGATAAGGCATGCTCCCTGTGTGTCAGTATGATAATGCAAAGAACAGAGGAACGACTACAGTAAGAAAAACAGTTTCTACATTGTATGAACTCATCTTCTGTTTCTCTTGTGGATTGTCCCACCTCAGGCCTAGTGTGTGTGTGTGTGTGTGTGTGTGTGTGTGTGTGTGTGTGTGTGTAAGCTATAAATATCCTCTCGACATTTTGAGGGTTCTGTGCAGTATTTTATTTGTTTGTAGTACTGCAGTCCTATGATCAGACACCTCAGATGTTATACCTGCAATTTGCTGAAGCCAATCTCCCAGTTTGGGGGTCACAGCCTCTGATGCTCCTATTACCTCTGGAACCACTTTAAACTTCACCTTCTACATCTGTTCCAGTTTTTCTTTTAGCTCCTGGTACTTCTCGATCTTCTCACGCTCCTTCCTGATGTTACTGTCAGCTGGGTTTGACACATCTGTCACCACTGTCCTCTTCTGCTCCTTGTCAATTGGTTGGTTAGCCAGCAGCTGTTTCTCAGTGCAGAACTTGAAGCCCAAAGGATCTCTCTCTCTTTCTCTACAGTTGAAACCAGAAGTTTACATACACTGTATAAAAAGACACATAACCTTTTTTTCTCACTGTCTGACATTAAATCAGACTAAACTTTTCCTGTTTTAGGTCAGTTAGGATTACCAAAATTATTTATATTTGCTAAATGCCAGAATAATGAGAGAGAATTTTTTAGACAATTTTTTATTACTTTCTTCAAAGTCAGAAGTTACATACATTTCATTAGTATTTGGTAGCATTGCCTTTAAACTGTATGACTTGGGTCAAACATTTTGGGTATCCTTCCACAAGCTTCTCACAATAGTTTGCTGGATTTTGGCCCATTCTTCCTGACAGAACTGGTGTAACTGAGTCAGGTTTGTAGGCCGCCTTGCTTGCACACACCTTTTCAGCTCTGCCCACAAATTTTCTATAGGATTGAGATCATGGCTTTGTGATGGCCACTCCAAAACATTGACTTTGTTGTCCTTAAGCCACTTTGTAACTAATTTGGCGGTATGCTTAGGGTCATTGTCCATTTGGAAGACCCATTTGCACCCAAGCTTTAACTTCCTGGATGATGTCTTGAGATGTTGCTTCAATATTTCTATGTAATGTTCTTCCTCATGATGCCATCTATTTTGTGAAGTGCACCAGTCCCTCCTGCAGCAAAACACCCCCACAAGATGATGCTGCCGCCCCTGTACTTCACAGTTGGGATGGTGTTCTCAGGCTTGCAAGCTTCCCCCTTTTTCCTCCAAATGTAACAATTGTCATTATGGCCAAACAGTTCAATTTTAGTTTGATCAGACCACAGGACATGTCTCCAAAAATGAAGGTCTTTGTCCCTGTGTGCATTTGCAAACTGTAATCTGGCTTTTTGTTGCTTTTGGAGTAACAGCTTCTTCCTCGCTGAGTGGCCTTTCAGCCCATGTTGGTACAGGACTCGTTTCACTGTGGATAATGACACTCTCTTACCAGCTTCAGCCAGCATCTTCACAAGGTCTTTTGCTTTTGTTCTGGGGTTGATACGTACATTTCGCACCAAAGCACGTTTATCTCTGGGACACAGAACCCGTCTCCTTCCTGAGCGATATGATGGCTGGACATTCCCATGGTGTTTATACTTGCGCACAATTGTTTGAACAGATGAACGTGGCACCTTCAGGCATCTGGAAATTGTACCCAAGGATGAACCAGACTTGTGGAAGTCCACAATTCTCTTCCTGATATCTTGGCTGATTTCTTTTGATTTTCCCATGATGTCACATAAGGAAGCAGTGTGTTTGAGGTGTGCCTTAAAATACATCCACAGGTGTGCCTGTAATTAACTCAAATGTTGTCAATTAACCTATCAGAAGCTTCCAAAGCCATGACATCATCATCTGAGCTTTCCCAAATTGTTTAAAGGCCTAGTAATCTTAGTGTATGTAAACTTCTGACTTTGAAGAAAGTAATAAAAAATTGCCTAAAACAGGAAAAGTTTAGTCAGATTTAATGTCAGACAGTAAGAAAAAAAAAGGTTATGTATATATATGTATATATATATACACACACACACACATATATATTCAGGCCATGCTGCCTGTAAATACAGAAACAGCATGCAGACACCATATCAGTGCTTTTATACTCCATGTCATTAGGAATAAATAATAAATGTTATTTAAAGACTGTTTTTCAGCCTATTAAAAACTGATCATAGGAACAATAATTAGGTTGATGAATGCTGCATTTACATTCACCTGCTAGGCCATTGACGGATCCCACTGGACACACTGGAGCACACTTCACCACACTTCTAGCTCTACAAATTACTCATGTGAAAGTTAATGGGAAGTCAACATGTCCAGATGGCTGCAGTGATGGATATTACTCTTCAGATTAGGGTCGGATATAACCTGTGTGACTGGGTGTTGCCAAGAGCTGAAGAAGATTGAAGAAGACAGAAGACTGATGAAGACAACATTCATTCATCCTCTGATTCAACATATTCCTGAAGTTGTGCTGTAAGCACCACCCCTGCTGAACCTACAAGGTTCACGTCAGGGTGGATGTAACTGAACCTTTATCACTGAACGTACGACTGAACCTCCAACACTGAACCTACGTCACTGAACCTACATAACTGAACCTACATCACTGAACCGAGGTCACTGAAATGACATCACTGAACCTGCATCACTTAACCTTAATCACTAAACCTACATACATCAATGAACCCTCATCACTGAACCTACATCACAGAACCTACATCACTGAACCTTCATCACTGAACCGAGGTCACTGAAATGACATCACTGAACCTGCATCACTTAACCGTCATCACTGAACCTACATACATCAATGAACCCTCATCACTGAACCTACGTCACTGAAACTACATCACTGAACCTACATCACTGAACCTACGCACATACAATGCACTAGTTTCAAGAAAATAACATTATTTTGTTCTAATTAAAGGGAAAAATGAATTTCCTGAGTTTCCTCATCATTGGAAACTTATGTCACCATATGTGTTCTTAAATTGTATTTAAGAAAATAAGTATGTAGTAACTCTCTGTCAGAGAGGAAGATTTTTTTTTTTTTTTTTTTTTTTTTTTTTTTTAATCAAAACACATTTTCCAAAATATGAAAAGAAAAATGAGGATGCAGTTTGAGTTCTGAATTGAGACAGCTCTACCTCCTTAAACACCATATACCACAGTGCCATGAGAAAGACACTTCATGCAGCAGCCACTGAAATCCAGCTTTACTTTACAAAATCCAGTGTGAACTCTGGGCTGTGTAATTAATTTGGCCATGTCTTCAAAGTACCACTAGAGGGAGCCATCACATTGAGTTTGTTCTTTCAAAAGGGTCCTTCTGCAGGTTACAATACTTACAGTTATGGCCCTCTCTTGTAGCCTGCAGACAGAACCCTCTCTGTACTGTGATTTAAACTACATCATGATACCATCAAATACAGACAAATAACAACTAGTGATCTGGCCAGGACATGTGCTGTTTCTGTATTATGTTCACTTCTCAGACCTTCTGCTACTGTTCAGGGCTTTTAACAGCAACAAAAAAAAAAAAATTATTTAATTTTTAAAACATAAAAATAAAGATTTACATAAATCACTGAGGCCATTGGCTCCTCTGCTCCGGCCCTGCAGCTCCGCTGGATCAACGTCTGCTGCTGATGCTTTATTAATCGTATAGTGGGCAATGCGCCAAGTCTTTTCACTTCTGTCTGGCTCGTCCCGC